CTTTTTCGGACGTTTGCGAGTAGGCACTTTGCGAGTAGTGGAACGCGCTCGGTGATTTTCGGAGCTCCGCACATATTCCTCGGATCATCGCCTGGGGCCCCCTGGCGGCGCCTCCGGCGCCGCCTTTGGCGCGCTCCGCGCGCCAGGGATGGGGGGTCTAGCGCCGACCTGAGAAATCTGCGCGGACCTTTGACTTTTTATCTTCATGTCAGTATTTGTTCCCCCAGGGAAGTTCGTTCCGATCGATCTGGTTCGATGTCGACTCTTGCTGGCCTGGTCCGATTCGAGTTCGATGTGCCGACGGTGCGATGCAGCTCGACGCTTGCATGGCGCTGCTATGCATCCTGGCGCAAACGATCCGATCCGATTCCGTCTCCGCGCCGATGCGGTCCGATCCGACGCGCATTCCGATCTGATCCCATTTCCCAGTTCGATGCTGACTGATCTTGCCTTGCCACCCCCCTGCTCCTCCACCTGCTTCTCCATCACATCTTTTCTCCATCCCTGTCCTTCTCCTCCCCTGCTCCTCCTCCCTCTTCCTTCCCCGCCCTTCTCTCTCCCTGTCGCCACCCCCCTCCTCGTCTTCCTCCTTGGCCTCCTTTCATTCCGCGACGGCTGCTGGTCGCGATGGATTTGTCGCCCTGGCCACTGGCGAGAAGTGGACTGGGCAGTTGCCGCATCCGAACCACCGCATCAGAGCGTGGTGGAAGTATCGCCGCGCCATTTGCGAGAAGTGAACTGTGGTCGTAAGACCACCACAGTCGATCCGCGCTATCTGCGCGATCCCTGCACGTCCCTTTCAAAGAAGGGCAAACAGAGTTCTTGACGCTTCGCGAGTACCCGCCAGCAGGCGAGCTGCCTTGATCAGTGATCAGGGAAGTGTAGTAGCAAGCAGCAGAAAAACGAGGGGGGCAGTCGTCGAACCAGCGCGCGGGATCAGCCTGATCAGACCCAGGCGTTAACCATGCATTCCTTCGCGGATCTTTAGATATGGGACCCTCTTGAAACCTTCTTTGGACTATTTTGGGGCCCCTCGGGGCCAGTTTGGAGGCCTTTGGGCCTCTGTTGGGGCCCTCATGTGGCTCTCTTGGGGCCGTCTTGGGGGCCCTGGGGGCAACGCCCAAATCCATTGAACGCTTGTGGAAATCAATGATCTTTGGAGGCCCTTGGAGGCTCTTGGGACCTTTCACGCTTTTTTGGCCGACTGGAGGCCACGCCGGGCGTCAGCGACCGATTGTTCGTCGATCCTGGGCCCTCTTAGACCGTCTTGGTGGCCTCTTGGGGCCTTTTTGGCCCCTCTTGAGGCCCTCGAGGTCACGCGAGAAGCCGCGACGCGCCCCGGGGGCCACGCGGCGCGCTCCGGCCGATCTGGCAATCTCGGGCCCAGGCCCCTCAAATAATCTTCAGACTTGATGACTGCGGCTCTAGGGGATCCAACAAGGGACCTGAGGACACTCCAACTCGTGCCTCAAGGGCACGCTGGCGGAGAATGCGGTAGAGTAATGCAGAGTCGAGTCGAGTAGAGTAGGGCAGATGGTAGGTGAAAGGCGGGCAGAACAGAGTAGAGTATAGCAGAGTGGAGCAGAGTGGAGCAGAGCCCAACCCAGTCCATTCCAGTCTACTCCAGTCCAGTCTACTTCAGTCCACTCCAGTCTACTTCATTGCAGTCTTCTGATCTATTTGGAGCCTGCGCTGGCTGCAATTTCATAGGTATCGGAAGGACGTTGGCCTCTGGGGAGCGTCCTTCGGAAAAATCGTGGCCATTTAGAGCCGTTTTGGGGCGGTCTTGGGGCGGCTTGCGATGCATCGGGAACTGCATTGAGCCATATTTGCCTCTTCTGTTCCATCTTGGAGGCCATCTTGGGCTATCTATGGCCTTCTTGTCGCCATCTTACGCCATCTTAGACGGTCTGACCGCTCGGCCGCCCTCCCGTCCAGACCCAGGGGTAGGTGGTAGGGGACGGGTAATTCCCTCCCTGAAAGGAAGAACTGGGGTTGTAAGAGATATGCCCTAAACAACCTTCGCCTCGTGGTCTGGTGGTATTCCAGTCCCCACGCGGGACCCAGAAGCATCGCCTCTCGTCGCAGCCCTCTTGGGGCGCTCTTGGGGATCTCTGAGCTCATTGGGCTGTCTTGGAGCTGTTCTGGGCCCCTCTTGGATCGCTGTTCGCCGTCGCCGTCGCTGTTGCCGTCGCCGTTGCCGTCGCCGTCGCCGTCGCCGTCGCCGTCACCGTCGCAGTCGCTGTCGCCGTCGCCGTCGCCGTCGCCGTCGCCGTCTCCGTCGCCGTCGCCGTCGCTGTTTTGTCGCCGTCGCCGTCGCCGTCGCCGTTTTGTCGCTATCTCCGTCGCTGTCGCCGTCGCCGTCGCCGTCGCCGTCGTCGTCGCCGTCGTCGTCGTCGTCGTCGTCGTCGTCGTCGTCGTCGTCATCCTCGTCGAGGGTCCCCCTCGGGAGGCCGCCGCCGACCGCCAGCAGCAGAGGCGCCGCAGGCCCAGGAAGTCTTGGGCGAGCGCGCTCACCGGGCGGCGCCACGGGGCCGGGCAGGACGCCGCCAGTCTTTGTTGCCGTCGCTGTCGCCGCCGCCGTCGCCGCCGCTGCCACCGCCGCCGACGCCGCCGCCGTCGTCGTCGTTGTCGTCGTCGTCGTCGTCGTGGTCGTCGGCGTCGCCGTCGTCATCGTCGTCGTGGTCGTCGTGGTGGTGGCGATGGTGGTGGTGGTGGTGGTGGTGGTCGTCGTCCACGTCCTCCCCAGATCTCTTTTTGTAGTTGTTGGTCCTCTGGAGCTTGCCAGCCCGTGCTCTGTCCTCCCACCGGCGGTTTAGCGCAGCCAGCCGCCTAGGGCAAACTATGGGGGCGGAACACCGTGAGTAGACCCTCGTTTTCGTTCTTGTGGCTCGTTCCTGATCGTCTTTGGTGTAGTCTGCGCATGATTCTGTTTGTTTCACGAGGTAGGACTTATGTGGTGCAATGTGTGCGGTGTATTGTGCGTGGTATGTGGTGCAGTATGCGTGAAACAATTCATGTGGTGCAATCGTTACACACGGCACGTACTGAATGCGATCATATTGTAGTGCCGCGCGTGTGGTGCGATCTACCTTGAGCAGTGTGCGCGATTCGCTTTTGTGGTGCACTTTTGTGTGGCGCGGTCTGAGACCATGCAGACCATGGATGCAACAGTAGGTATGGCGCAAAAACAGATAGTAACACTTCTGCGGTGCGGTATATGAGGTGCAGCGTATGTTGTGCAATCTTTGATGCGCATCCTACAAAGTGCTTTGTGTGTATGTGTGGCACAATGTGTGCATGTGGCACCATCTATGGCGCAATGGTTGTGTGGCAGCCTACCATGGGGCACTGTATGGGACCAGAGGTCAGGAAGGGTACCCACTAGAGGCCACCATACGGCACCAAGGGCGCCCACGAGTGGCCACGATCCAAAAACCAAACGCCCGCTTCAAGTCCCATTGGGTAATGGGCACCCATGGGTGCCCACGAGCCGACATCTTGCCTCCACCCTGTCTTTTTCCCAATCGGACATAAACCAAACCTACTTTCCTGATAATGTTTATCAGGTGCGAAGACACCCGAACTTTGTCAAACATCGGCGTGCACCTCATTCGCGTCATATTCGTAAATCATATGTTTTTTTTTCTAGCCATATGCGTAAATCATCTGGGTTTTTCTAGGAAGCTCCCAGAAACGGAAGGACAATTCGGAACACGTCGGAGAACATGCAGGAACCGTGCTGCCTCTAACACGCTTTGGAAGCGCCCGAACCAGGCCAGAGTTGCCTGGCGTCGAGCCGGAGGAGGATGAGGGCCTTCTCCCCCCCCTGTTCCCCCAAAGCCACGAAGACGACGAGCGGCGAACGACGAGCGACGAGCGGCGGCGGCGGCGGCGACGGCGGCGGCGGCGAGCGACGGCGAGTGATGAGGTCGACGGCGGCAACGGGGGGCGAGCGTCGGCGGGCCGAAGGACAGGGTCTCCAGCGACGATCCAGAGGCGGCGGCCTCGGCGGGCGCGGCCGCCCTGGCGGAGGCGCGGCGTCTGCCCCGCTCGGACGGCCCTGGTCGTCATCGTTTCCGCCGAGGTCGCCTTCGTTGCCGCCGTCGGCGTTGCCGCCGCCGTCGTCGTTGTCGCCGCCGTCGTCGCGGTCGTCGTCGTGGTCGCCCTGGTCGTGGTCGTGGTCTCTGTCGCCGTCACCGCCGCCGCCACCGCCCAGGCTGTCGTCGCCGCCGCCGCCGCCGCCACCGCCCAGGCTGTCGTCGTCATTGCCGCCGCCGTTGTCGCTGTTGAGGGGGAGTTGGGGGGATGGAGGATGGGAAGAGGGGGATCTGGAGCAGGAGCACGCGGAGAGGGAGCAGGTGGGAACACAATCAGAATCTTACTACGCGTCACGATCACACTAGCAGCAGGAACCATACTATTAACAATAACAGTGACAATACGGCTCATACGAGTAGCACGGGGGATTATATTTGATATAGGGTGGAGGCAGATACATAGCGTTGACTATACCAATAATGCCAATGGTACGTGCACGACGTGGAAGAATATGCAGAACTCGATGAGTAATAACAGCGCGACCACTCATATTATTCGTAGTCCTAGTGGTGTTCAGAGTATTTCGACGAGTGATGCGATAATTCGCAATCTCAGCACTAATCATACTATTCATGCGCAGGTCTACCAGTAATACTACTCATTGCATAATACCCATGATCGTATTACGAGTAAACATACTGCTACGAAAACCAATATTGGTATGACTCATACTGCTAACATGGTCAATCGTACCCAAACGTATACGACTATTAACTTTTCCACGAATACCATTCGTGGCACGGAAATGAGACATTTGCAACTAGTACAACTCAAACGAAGTATGCAACGACTAAGGACACTACGGTTGATAGTCGACTCAGTACGTGGAGAAGGAGGAGGTGCGTGGAGGAGGAACAGCAGGAGGACGGGAACATGGAGCCAGGAAATGAGAAGGACGAACAACAGAGGGGAGTGGGAGGCTGATGGGGAGGATACCTGAACTATGAGGAGGAGGAGGAGGAGGAGGAGGAGGAGGAGGAGGAGGAGGAGGAGGAGGAGGAGGAGGAGGAGGAGGAGGAGGAGGAGGAGGAGGAGGAGGAGGAGGAGGAGGAGGAGGAGGAGGAGGAGGAGGAGGAGGAGGAGGAGGAGGAGGAGGAGGAGGAGGAGGGAGGGAGGGAGGGAGGGCGGGCGGGCGGGCGGGCGGGCGGGCGGGCGGGCGGGAGGGAGGGAGGGAGGGAGGGAGGGAGTGAGGAGGAGGAGGAGGCGGAGGAGGAGAAGGAGGAGGAGGAGGAGGAGGAGGAGGAGGAGGAGGATGCGGAACGGCGAGGGGCTAGGCTCCCGCGGCGGACCGCGCGCTGCTGCCTGGCAGCTGGCCCCACCACCAGCCGCGGGGCAGACACTGAGCGACGCAGGCTTTTGCCAGGCAGCGCACTCGCGCGCGCTTTCAGGCCAGGATTTTGCGCCGTCTTCGTCGAACATACAGGACCCCCAACTTTCATAGCACAGCGAAGACGTAGCCTAATTTAGGTCCGCGTGCTTGCGTTAGGGTTAATAGATCCGGGTGGCTTGATTTGAGACATCTGCATGAAGACTCCCCATCTTTAACATTTTTTGGTCTCTTAACTCAGGGCGGCTCCCAAAGTGCTAGGGGCCCTTGTATTGCTGATCACGCCTGGCGCTCCCTGCGCTCACCGCGAACCCGCACAGGCCCGCGCGCCACCTGGGCGTGCGGGCAGCGAGCTTGACCTGCAGAGCGCGCAACCCGCCGAAGCCTGCCGAGATCCGACGACGGTGATGACGACGACGGCGGCTGCGACTCGAGGGCCCCGCCGCGAGGCCTCCGTGGAGCACGGCGTGTGCCTCCTGGCGTCGTCCGGCGGCTCCTCCGAGGAGTCGGCCGCCGAGTCGCCGTCGGGCAGGCGGCCTGCTGCCGCCGCCGCCGCCGCCGTCGCCGTCGCCGTCTTCGTCGTCGTCGTCGTCGTCGTCGTCGTCGTCGTCGTCGTCGTCGTCGTTGGTTTGTCGTGGTGGTCGTCGTCGTGGTGGTGTCGTCCTCGTCATCGTCGTTGGTGTCGTCGTCGTGGTCGAAGTGGTTGTTGTGGTGGCCAGCGTCGTTTGTCCGCGTCGGTGCAGTGGTCGAAGTTCCACGCTTGGAATGTCCAATCGTCGACAGGCCGCACCATCCTCACAACGGATGCTACGCAGCATCATCGGGATGACATCGGCTCCGACGTAAATGGAAGCACGGACACTCAATGCAATATCGGTTGTGTTTCCGCTTGTTTCTTTGGTGCCCGTAATCTGGATGTCCTCCTGCGCTAATGCTATCCGTGGGCCGCTACAGTGGCCGATTAGCCGGTTCTTCTCTTTTTATGTCCGCGCCAGCACGCCACGCAGGATTCATTGTAATTACCTGTTGCAAGGATTTTTCCAAGGAGATGGGGGAGGCCGAAACGGGACATAAGGAGATGTAGATGAGGAAAATGAGGGAGGAGGATGAGAGCGAAGATGATGGTGTAGAGCGAGGGAGGAGGAGGAGGAGGAGGAGGAGGAGGAGGAGGAGGAGGAGGAGGAGGAGGAGCAGGAGGAGGGGGAGGAGGAGGAGGAAGAGGAAGCATGGAGGAGGTGGAGGAGGAGGAGGAAGTGGAGGAGGAGGAGGAAGACGCAGGGAGGATACGATAGGAGGAGGAGGAGGAGGAGGAGGAGGAGGAGGAGGAGGAGGAGGAGGAGGAGGAGGAGGAGGAGGAGGAGGAGGAGGAGGAGATGGATGAGGAGGAGGAGAAGGAGGAGGAGGAGGAGGAGGATATGGAGGAAGAAGCATGGAGGATACGATACGATCCGCACATCCTTGACGCCATGATGTCTGATTACCCAGCGAGTACTTTGCGCACTCATTGTCAAATTCGCGCAGCAGTGGGCCCTGAAAGTCGGCAAGACTGACTGGAGGCGACTGGCGTGATGAAACCTTTTTTTGAACTGAGCGCATATGCCAAGCTCTACGCACAGGGCCGCAGACGTGGCCGCGCACAGGGCCGTCATGGCCCCTGCAGCCACCGACGCATAAAGGAGCCACAGGGAGCTGGGTGAGAATTCTTCTGATCTCGCCTGCTGCTGCCTAGCAATCTGAGGGATGTGCCTGCTGCGAGCTGAAGTGGCGAACCTCTGGGACCCTGGGTAGATCCCTCCTGGAGGCCAAGAGCTCAGTAGTTATCAGTGCATCAGAAGTTTGGGGATGAGGAGGAGGAGGAGGAGGAGGAGGAGGAGGCTTGGGACACTCAGGCTCCTTCTCAGCAGAACATTTGGAGAGGGGGTGGGCAGACGACTTCGGGTGGGCGATCGACGATCGAGGAGGAGGGCAGGGGGGCTCAGAGGGTAGTGCGGGCCTGGTGGGATGGAGCCGAGGGTGGCCCAGGCGATGCTGAGCTTTTGGCGAAAGTGACATCGGTCCATCCATCCTGTCTGGATAAGTACCAGATGGAGTCGAGCTGTGATGACAAAGCGTTGCGCTCGTACTCGACCGAAGCTCGCTTTGAACGGACTCACGAAACTTCTGAGGGTTGACGCTTCCAGTGGTCTCCAGTACCTGCAAGTCATTATCGTCCTCTATTTCAGCAGGGCCTTCACGAACGTCTGGATCTCGCGCTCTATGTATGAGGCTGGGGCTCGGCCGAACTTCCTCGCACCGTTTGGGACCTGCTCCAGTGACTGGACGACGATGATCTCCCGAAAGCCCATACCCCTGACTGCGAATGTGATCCTGCGACGCTCCTTCTGGTGTACTTTGTCCTTGCGGCAGAACAGCACGAGCTCGCACTTCTGCTCTGCTGTGTATGCGTCGGCCTCGACAGATCTCCAGAGTCCAGAGGCTTCCGGAGGCCCGAGAAAAGCACAACGCGCCCCAGAATGTGCAATCGTCCGATCACGTCCACAGACGACGATCACCACCTCCACCACGACCACTTACGACGACATCATGGCGGCGGCGGCTGCGGCGGCGGCGGCCGCGGGGGGCGGCCTGGCGGGGCGGCGGCATGGCGGCATGGCGGCCCTGAGCTTTTCGGGCCCTCCTCGGCCACCGTGGCATTCACGTCACTTGCGTATTTTGGGAAAAATTGGGAGCCTTCCGACACGTCGCACGTGAATCTCGCACGGTTCCGCGACCGCCCACCGAACCCGAAGCTATGCCCCGAAAGGCCCAACACTTCCATGCGCCAAGGGCGGCCCTTGCCTGGGGAACCTCTCCTCTGGCATCTTGGGGTTCGCGGATTGCGCAAGGTCTACTGACAACGATTTCGCAGTCGGCTATAATCTCGGCGCGCGCGAAGCGCGCGCGTGGTGTTGCATCGGTGTTAGTGGATTCCTGCAAAACCTACTCCTGGTTGTCCTGCTCCTCCCCTTTGTCGACCCTGATCGTTCTGGTGTTGCTGTTGCAGCTTCTCATCGAGAAGGGCGATGGTGACGAGGGGCAGGGAGTTGGAGGACACGACGTCCCGCCCTGAATCGATCCCCAGGTAACCTTCGGTAGATGGGGATCATTTGCATCTGCGGCAACTTTCTCCCACCCCCTTGGTATCACAACGAAGCTTGTGCATCTTCCTAACTAGAACCTGAGCGCGCGCGAAGCGCGCGCGCTTGGTTCTAAGTACAACTGTATATGTATATATGTATGTATGTATGTATGTATGTATGTATATATATATATATATGTATGTATGCATGCATTTATGTATGTATGTATGTATGTATGTATGTATGTATGTATGTATGTATGTATGTATGTATGTATGTATGTATATGTAAGTATGTATGTATGTATGTCTGTCTGTATGTATGTATGTATGCATGCATGTATGCATGTATGTATGCATATATGCATGTATGCACGTATGCATGTATGCATGTATGTATGTATGTATGTATGCATGTATGTATGTATTTATGTATGTGTGTATGTATGTATGTATGTATGTATGTATGTATGTATGTATGTATGTATGTATGTATGTATGTATGTTATGTATGTATGTATGTATGTATGTATGTATGTATGTATGTATGTATGTATGTATGTATGTATAAATGCATGCATGCATGCATGCATGCATGCATGCATGCATGCATGTATGTATGTATGTATGTATGTATGTATGTATGTATGTATGTATGTCTGTACATGTGTATATATAAAGGTGTATTTATATATATATATAGATATATATGTTTATCTTTTTTTTTTGCCGGCGGAAGGGGATCGGGGCCGCCAGGCCAGTATCTGCGCCCCCCATGGCCGCCCCGGGGCTCCGGGAGCGCTCCTGTCCGGGCCAAGAGGCTGCCAAGACGTGCCCAGGGAGGCGCAAGTGGCTCCCAAACCGGTCCTAGACGGCCCCGGGGCGCTCAAAGATCGCCCCTAGACGCTTAAGATGGCTCCCGTTGAGCCCGAGAAGCTGCTACAACGCCCCAAGTTGCTTTCCAAGAGAGCCCCAAGCGGCCAAAATCATTGATTTTGCATTGGACAACGTGCGTTTTTAGCATCTACGTCTTTTCGGTCTTCACGGCGTGCACGAGGGTACAAGAGGCCCCCACGACGGCCTCAAGACGGCCCAAGAGGCTCCCAACACGGCCCAAGAGGAACCCAAGACAGCCCCAGAAGCGGCCAAGGCGTGCTCAAGAGGCGGCCCAGACGTGTCCACGGAACCCCAAGAGGCTCCCAAATCGGTCCAAGACGGCCCCAGGGCTCTCAAAGATCGCCCCTGGACGCCCAAGATGGCTCCCATAGAGCCCAAGAGGCCGCTACGACGCCCCAGGAAGCTTTCCAAGGGAGCCCCAAAGCGGCGTACATTTTTAGCATCTGCGACTTTTCGGTCTTCACGGCGTGCACTTCGGTACAAGAGGCCCCAAAGACGGCCCCAAAAGGCTACCGACGCGGCCCAAGACAGCCAGAGGGGCGGCCAAGGCGTACCCAGAGGGCCCCATGAGGCTCCCAAAACGTTCCATGGCGGCCCCGGAGCGCTCAAAGCTAGCCCTTGGGCGCCCAAGACGGTTCTCACAGTGCCCAGGAGACCGCGAAGACGCCCCAAGAGGCCCCCAAGAGGTTTTCCAGGGGTCCCAAGAGGCCACAATCATTGATTTTGCGCAGGAAAACGTATATCCTTAGCATCTACGACTTGTCGGTCTTCACAGCGGTGACGACGGTACAAGAGGCCCCCAAGAGAGTCCCAGAACGGCCCAAGAGGCCCCAAAGACGTCCCGAGAGGGGGCCAAGACACCCCAAAAGGTCCCCAATACGACCCAGGAGAGCTCCAAGACGGCTCCAAGAGGAGCCCAAGAGGGGGAGCCCGAACCGAAAATCCGACCCTCCCGCCCCAAGAAGGTCCCAGGAGGCCCCTGGAGGCCCCGAAGAGGCTCCAAGAGGCGCCCAAGAGATCCCCCCAATAGGCCAAACCCAGAGAGCAGCGCGAGCGCTAGGGACGCTAGGCAGCGCGAGCGCTAAGGACGAGCTTTGTTATGTTTGTTCGAGTCTTCCGTCGACTTTTATTTTTCGGACGCGTTTCGACGAAGTTTGACTCGATTTGTCTTTGACTTCGGCTTGGACCAAAGCGCGCGCGCGAAGCGCGCGCGATGGTTCTAGTGTATACATACGTATATAAAATACATTCGGGCTAGCTCGACCCGATTCGTTTCCGACATTTCGACGACCCGACGCGGCCCGATGCTCGCATGGCGCCGTTGTGCATCCTGGCGTGGCCGATCCGATTCGATTCCGACTCCTTGCCGATGCGGCTCGATCCGATCCGATCTCCCGATTCGATGCTGAGTGATCTTGGCACATCCCCAGAGACCCGACGTCTTGTTTTTTCCATATGGGGTCCCTGTAAGTTCCGACCCGTTCCCCAGGGCAGGTTTTTTCATCCCGACTTGTTTATCGGCGGTCCCCGTGCGCGGCGAGGGCCCCCAGATGCCGAAAAGAACGAACATCCTCAGCACGGATTTTTTCAATCGTTTGGAGGTCTGCGGCCGAAATTCTCCGAAGGCCTGCGGTTCGATGCTGATCTGTCTCCTTGAATTCCGACGTCACGAGCAAAGTGCAACATTGCAAAATACTTCGACCAGAGCCCTAGATCACCGCCGAGGGCCCCGGTGCCCGAAACAAGGCACGCAAAAATCGCCCGTTGCGAAGGAATCCGCGACGCTAGGTTCTCAGGGGTTGGCACATCCGAAAGCTTCCGAAGGCCTGCGGATGTATCCGGGGCAATGGTTGGGGGGGACAGGGGGCAAGGGGGAATGCATCGATCTCCATTCGCCCACTCATTGACCTGATTACCCTCCCCGCGCAGGGCCGTGCGGTTTTGCTTCCGGGGGCTTGTCGCCGATCTATCGGCGATGTATCGCCGATTCGGAGTCGGTGCGTCCCCCCCCGAGCTGGTCCTCCCGTATCGTTCCCCCTCAGAGTACCCGGAAACCTATGAGGAAACTCTTGGAGGCCTCGCGCGGCGCGCAAAAGTTGTATCATTTTGTCCGCGCGTCCACCCCGTCAGACATGGGACGACGCTCGCGCGGCGATGTTCCGACTTCAGGCCGACGTGAACCCGATGTGAACCTGACGTGCATCCGACGCAATCCGACGTGTGCCCGACGTAAATCCGACGTGGATGCCACTTAATTTGGGCCCCAAATTGCCGCGCGAGGTATCCAGGATTTTTCACATAACGGAGACTTCCGAAGAGTCTCCGACGAAACACCGCGGAGGCTTCTGGTAGCAAGAACCTCCCCCCCGGGGCTGGCGCCGCAGGCAAGCGGCGCCGCCCGCAGTCGGCACGCTGGAGGAGGCCGGGTCGTCGTCGTCGTCGTCGTCGTCGTCGTCGTCGTCGTCGTCGTCGTGGTCGTGGTCGTCGTGGTCGTCGTGGTCGTCGTGGTCGTCGTCGTCGTCGTGGTCGTCATCGCCGTGCTCGTCGGCTTCGTCGTCTTTGCCATCCTGGTGGTGGTGGTGGCCGTCGGGGTCGGGGTGAGGAAGCAGGAAGGTGGGTCAGGCAGAGGAGTGGGGGAGAGGAGGGGCGGGGGGGGGCAGGTGGGGGGAGGGAGGGTGGGTGGGGCGCAGACCCCCTCGCGTCGCGAGAAAGTTACGACAGCAGGTTTTTTTTGTTGTTGCCATTTGCCTTCAGGTATTCACGTGGTCAACGAAACACGACGCCAGATGTCGGGTGGGGGAGGGGGCGGACGGGGCTTTCGAAGGCCTTCGTCGGCCTCGGAGGTCTGACAAGGTTTTTTCGCTATCATTCTGCGGGAACTGATGGGGTGAGGTGGGCAGGGGGAATGCCTCTTCTATTCTCTGTGAGCAAGCTCCTGCTGTCTCCGCAGCTTCTCTGCCCAAGTGCCCCCCGTCGGCCGCGCGTGCGGGCGCCTTATGCAGGCGGTCGCACAAGCGGCTCTCCAGGGCGCTGGGGAGATTTTGTTCAGGGGGCTGCGGGCCGCGCTCTACGAGCGGCTCGTGGCTGCCCCCCTCTCTGTGCTTCAGGACCAGGGGCCTCCATCGCCTGCCTGGTCCATCCAGCAGGCGGACTCGTCCGAAGGTGAGGGGGCCTCCTGCCCTCTCCCTTCGGCGGGTTCCACCTGCCCCACCGTCTGCCTCGGGCTGGCGGTGGACCTGAGCGGCGGGGTCTCTCCCTGGCTGCTCAGCACGGTCGCCGCCCTCCTCTGGGTGACGGCCGCCTGCAGCGCCTGCGCGGGCTGCTGCCTCGGGCTGCTGGGCCCGTACGTGTGGCGGAGGCTCTGGCCCTCCGCCTGGCCGCGCGGCGCGGTTTCTGCTTCACCTGAGCAGGACCGCCGTGCGGCGCGAGCGCTGGCCTACGGGGCTCCGCCTCGACCTCAAGCGCTCGAGCGGGCAGACGCCCAGCGTGCGGGCGGCGGCGTCCACGGCGGCGCCCACTGATGGCGGAGCTGCCACCAGTTGGCGGAGGGCCCCTTTGGCCCGAGCTCTACCCTTTCGCTGCGCCCACGGCGCGCGACTACGCACGATGGCGCCTAGACGACGGCGACACCAGCTGGGCGGCTATCCCCCTCGCCTCTCGAGAAGGGGGCATCCTGCTGGCCCTGCCTGGTGCCTTTCGCTCTACAGCGGAGCTCGAGGCTGCCGAGGCGGATGGCTTTGCTGGGATGATAGGCCCCTTCCAGCTAGTGGACGTCCAGCTCCAGGGGGCCGCTTCACGGCCGCTCGCCACTACCGCATCCGTCCTCGTTATAGATATCGAGGTTGCCGAGCTCGAGCTCGAGTCGCTGTACCCTCTAGAGGTCGGCGACGACGCAGGCATCGTTCCCTTCGCCGAGGTGCGCAGCCGCGTCTATTGGCCGCATCCTTCGGGGGTTCGGGTGCTTCGCGAGGGCTACGCTCGTTTGCACGGCGCCCCGCCTACCGCAGGGGAAGAGCCTCTCCCAGGGGCCGATCGGGCTACCCCCTATCACTCTGCCGACGAGATGGAGGAGCCCGAGGGGTTCGCGGCCGACGGGGAAGCCGACCGCGCGGCCCCAAGTGCGCGAGCCCCCGCGGTCGCTGGAGCGCCGCGCGGCCCGCCCGCCAAGCGCGCTGGCGCCGCCGCGCCGCCACGGGTCGCGGGTCCTGCTCCGATTGCTCCTGGTGCTCCTGCGGCGTCTCTGGACGACGGGGCTCCCATGACCCGCGCCGAGGTAGCTGCCGAAATGCGCGCCTTGCTTGCAGCCCACGCGGCCTCCACGATGGTCGGCGGACCCGAACCGCTGGGCCCCGCTCCGGCTGCCCGGAGCGCTCGGCCCGAGGTGCCTCAGCTTTTCAGCGACGAGGCGGCGCGCCTCGGGCTGGATCCTGCGGGGATCGAGGCCGTCTTGTCCCACGCGCCCGTGGCCCCACATCGGGTCTCCGCGCGCCCCAAGGGACCCACCTCCGCGCTGGTCTCGGCGTGGGAGAAGGCGCGCTCTCTTGCTGTCCCTCGGGCCCCTTCGTCCGCTTCGGACCGATGGGCCCCCCGCCGCCGCCTGGGCTAGCCCATCCCGCTGCGGTCGACGGCTTTGCCGAGGCGGGCGGCGCCGACGGGTTAGAGCCGCCCCTTGCGGCCAATCCGACGGACTTCAGCCTCATGCTTCAGTGCCTGCACCAGTCCCTTTCCTTGCAGCAGGGGCGGGGCCATCGCCCAGCCTTCCACCCGCTTCTGGGGACCCTGAGCGACCAAGCTCAATCTCCGCCCGCGACCTCGGGCGACCCCGCGCACGCATCGGCTCAGATGGGGGGAATCGCTCGGAGGCGCGAGTGGCAGCAAGCGCTGATGCAGCACGGCCCCGACGTGCGAGGACTGATGAAGGAGAATTTGGCCCGCGTTCTGGGCGTGGAAGTCAGCGCCGTGACCCCCATGGCCATGCATCAGTACTTTCGCGAGCACAGCCCCCTCGGGGCTCAGCCGTCGACGCACGAGTTGTTGACGCATTTTGCCTTCCTCAGCGCCGAGCTGTGGCGGGCCTGCGAGGAGGGCAACCCCGAGAGGGTCCAGACCTTGCTGACTTGCCAGTGCATGTTCATCGACCAGTTGGCGGGGGACCGCGGCTACCTCGAGGCCGCTTGGTTCCTCACGGGGCTGGAGCCTCCCCCGTGTCGCGTGACCAGTCGTCACACGGAGCGCGAGGCCCAGACCCCGTTTTCACCCCTAGTGGATCCTCGCTGGCTGTCGGCGCAGGGCGAATACATGAAGGAGCTGCAAGCATTTCGGGCGCGCCTCGACGCCGAGCGCGCCGTCGCGCTCCCCAAGCATCCACCTCATCAGCCCAAGCAGCCCAAGGTCTCAAAGCCCCCCTTCAAGTCTCAGGGTGCTCCCAAGGCCCCGAAGGCGGTGCCCAAGAAGGACTGAAGATGCCCTTGGCGCCCGCCTTCTTGGAGGGGGGGCCTTCGCGTGGCCGGGGTACGCCGCCGCAGACAGTCTGCACCGACGCTGCTACGGCTGCTAGGCGTGTTTGGGCGCAGCGAGGGCGTGAGGGTAGGAATGCGCTCCTCCAGCGATGCTGTTGCGGCCCCGCAGGGAGGAGTACGTTCCGCCACCACGCCCCTCGCTCTGCTCCGAACCGCCCCTCGGATCCATTCGGCCATTTTGGCCGTCACCTGCCTCAGTCGAGCGCTCCCCCCATGGGGCCTGCAGCCCCTGAGGTTGGTGTTCTTGCTGGTGCTTGTTCTCCTTCAAGCACCCCTGCTGCTCTTGCCAACGTCGCGCCATTTGTCGCTGACTTGTCTGCCTTGCTGCGCCTGTTTCCAGGCGCGAACATTGATATCACCCACTGGGCGGCAGCGCTGTCCCAGGTTGGGATGGGTGCTCGATGTTCTCTTGGATCTTTCTCCCGCTCATCAATGCGTGCAATGGACAGGGACGACCCGTGCCTTTTGGGGCCGCCTCCCCGCGATCCTTGGCCGTGCCCGCCTGCTCCACCTCTTGGTCCCCCGCCTGACGGCTTGTCGGCGAGGCGCAGGGAGCGCTGGAGATTGCGGCGCGCGGCGCGGACGCTCGCGCAGTATTCTGTTATTGCGTTGAACTGGCTCACTTTGGGTCATCCTAGCCTCGCTCCCGCCGAGGCTCGTGTCCGCGCCACGGTCTCGCCCTGCCAGGAGGGCGTCCGCACCCGTATCGAACGGTTGTGTCGGATCGCAGTTCGCCTTGCCCGTGGCGGCAAGAGCGACTTAGGTCGAGCCTTCGCCAAGTTCGACTCTACTGAGGTCTCGCTCCATGGCCTGGCCACCCATGTTGCAGCTTTGGAGGCCTCCTTCACCTCCTCTTCTTCCGTGCCCGCCCCCATGCGGCACTGCCCGACCAGCGCTCCTTCCGTGCCTGGTTCGCTGGCGTCTGCGGCGGCTTGGGACTCCACCCAGGTCGAGCCCTTCGATTTAAAAGTCAGGGCGTCTCGCATTAAGTGGGATTACTCGCCAGAGTTTGATCCCATTCCGTTTCTCTCTGACGCTCGAGTCCGCGAAGCGTTCATCAATCCAGAGGAGATGCGGCTCCCGGCGTCAGAGTGGCCTGCTGGCCAAAAGGGGGCGCGTGTCCATATGGACCGCGCCGAGCTGTGGGCCCTACTCCAGAAGTGGGATGCCTGCGGCGCCCTGTACCTGACTCCTGCTTCGGACCTCGCCTGGGATGAAGCCTGCGGAGCTTTCAGGGTACCGAAGGACAGCGACTTCGACAGGCTGATCCTGAACCCAACGGTCGTGAACAGCCGCTGTGCCTCAATCTCGTCCAGCACCCAGCGCCTTGGCCAGGGTTTCCTGCTGTGCCGTTTGGGTCTGGCGCCTGGGGAGTGGCTGGCAGTTTCTTGCGACGACCTACGGGAGTTTTACTACACTTTCCGCGTTCCTCCCGCGCGCGCCAGGCGTAACGCCCTTCGCGTTCGTCTGCCATCATCCCGCTTCAAGGCCTTTCGAGCCTGGCGCCCCGAGCTCGAAGGTGTGGACGTCGCGCCTTGCCTCAATGCTCTAGCGATGGGCGACAACATGGCGGTGGAGATTGCCAACTCTGCACATGAAGGCGTCTTGCACAGCTTCGGGGCCTTGCGGCCTCACGAGCAGGTTGTCCACCGCTCGCCCTTCCCGCGGGGACCGTTTGTCGAGATGCTGAATATTGATGACCATACAGGTTTTCAGAAGCTCTCGTGGCATGGCTCCGCTCCTCGCCCCGACGACCCCTGTCGTCGTGATCGTGAGGTCTTCGCCGCCTGCGATGCAGGCTACCCGCGCGTGGGCCTGATTCAGCATCCAGGCAAGCGCGCGCGCGGCGAAACGCACAAGGTGGTGGTGGGCGCCGAGGTGGAAGGGCGCATAGGCATCGTC